GCCACTGCTACACAAGCTCTCCTGGGCATGTTTCGGTGTCTCCAGGTAAGTGGTCAATACTCACAGGAACCCGTCATATCCTGTGCGACATATCAAACTTCACGGTTTTTCAAAACTCGGCTGGTAATGGTCTTATAGAGAGACCACAGTAACATTTACCACCCTGGAAATGCTTCGGTGCCCTCGAGGAAGTGGCTAATCCTCAAAAATAAATAAAAATAGGCAAACTTCATGATTTTACAAATCATGGTCGGTCTAATTGACCGTCCATGTTTACACACTAGAAAAAGTGTTAGAAGTTCATTTTCAAAAAAAATTCTCACGCAGTTCTTCAGAGAATCATTTTGCTGAAGAACTAGCTACGCGAACGAAATGAGAATAAAAGTTTTCGAACGAGATGTGCGAAACAGTTCAGCAAAGAAAATTCCGATTTTGCTCTCTCAACCTATTTCACAAAAAAATCGAGAAACGAGCTAGCTGAGGTTCTTGTCTCCTATGTCATGTTTCGCCGCGGAGTAGACTAAAATTATCTCGCTTAAGGCTCCACCGGAATAAGAAAATTGGTGATTTTGTAAAAAAAACATCTGGTGTCACGGAAATGTAGTGCGATTCTCTAAATGTTGCACTAACATATTTGCATATACATTTGGGGGTAAAACATATATTGGGAATTTAGTGATGGGTGAATATTATAGCTGATGGGGGATTCAAGTGATGGTAGTTTCAAAATTCATACCCTTATACAGACATATTAAGGTTATGCAATAATTCTTATGAACCATGTTTTACATAAGAGATTGGATGTTATAATATCATGTTGATTAATATCCCATTTCCTGTTGCTGACATGACAGGCATGGTCAATTTATAATGGCTGGTAAACCACATGGAGGAAGTGATCGATCTGTATATTTCAGAAAACCATGTAAACAATAACTAGGTGGCTTTGTAGTAACATATTTGCTAAGGTTTTTGTTATTAATTTACTACAAAAAAAAAATTGTGGAAGTTATGAAATCATTAAATCTTCAGAAGATATTTTGCACTTGTAAGTTAAAAGAAGAGATTGTATAATAAGTGGTTGACACATGAAACCTGCACTTTCAGAGAGTCGCAATTTTATGATCGATGAACATTAGACTGATGCAAAATCTGACTTTTTTGCTCCACAGTGCTTACATGGTTTCAAATCGAGTCCTGATTAGCCTCCCAAAGTTACAACTCATTTGGGTAGAAACAGACTTCGCACAAGCCATTTGAAGTTTACATGTAAATTACTATGGGAAATCTCAACTTTTTGTTCATTGCCTTCTAGTCTTTTTCCATATTGAGCTGCGAAACAGTTTGATAGTCATTATTATAGACAATTTTCTCAGCTACATTTTTGCTCAAGATCGTTTCTACGTAATACGAGACAGGAAAAAGTTATTAATTATTTGAGAGATTGGTAAACTTATGACATGATCAAGCAGCTGCACTGTAGGCAACACTGTATTTTGCAGTGTGACATAGTAGCCATGATTTTTCTCTTTCTGGTAGAACTTACCAGTGGTTTAAATTAAAAATAATATTGTTTTGAATAATTTCATTAAATCTAAAGTGCATTAAAGAAAACTTGATCAAATGATCAGAGAGCTTACAGAAAATATTCCAGGATATTCCTTGAACACTTTATACTCGGTAATGACCAACGTACCTAACTGAAATTCACTTTCTGATAGAACTTACCAGTGATAAAAAATAATATTATTTACAAACATTCAATTTTACCGAAGGTACAATGAAGAAAACTTGATCAAAGAAGAAAATTTCAGTTATGTGCGTTTGTCATGACCGATCAAAAAGTGTTTCAATGATGTCCAGGAATATTTTCTGAAAGATATCTGATCATTTGATCAAGTTTTCTTTAATGTACCATCGGAAAAATTTAATTTTTGTAAATAATATTAAATTTTATTTGAATCACTGGTAAGTTCTATCAGAAAGGAATTTCAGTTAGGAACGTTGGTCATGACCGATCAAAAAGTGTTCCAGGGATATCCAGGAGCATTTTATGAATGATATTTGATCAAGTTTTGATTAATGAACCTAAGGTACAATGGAATTTTTGAAAATAATATTAATTTTTATTTAAACCACTGGTAAGTTCTATCAGAAAGTGAATTTAAGTTATAACACTGAGGCAAATAGACTTAAGAATTTCATAAGGCTCGACTTATGAACGACACATATGAATTTCATAAGCGCGACTTATGAAGATTTTCGTCTAACATAAAGTAGCTCTTATACACGTTTAGCCATTCTATTTACCCAAGCGTCGACAGACGAGTAGTCCAGACATAAGACCCGTAATCTCAACGTCCATGGTTCGGTTCCAGTCTGCTCCATTTTATTATTTTTTTGTTGACATTGTTTTACATAAGGCAAATCGATGAAATTCATACCGATTTCTTGTGGCTAAAATTCATGTGGTTCTTATAGAATTCTTACGTTCTTTTGCCTCGGTGTGGGTACGTTGTTCATGACCGATCAGAAAGTTTTTCAGGGATATACATACAGGAATATTTTCTAAATGATATCTGATCATTTGATCAAGTTTTCTTTAATTATAACTTTCTATTTAATGAAATTATTCAATACAATATTAATTTTTATTTAAATCACTGGTAAGTTCTATCAGAAAGTGAATTTCAGTTAGGTACGTTGGTCATGACCGATCAAAAAGTGTTCAAGAGATATCTCAGGATGGAGTTTTCCAAACAGCACCATGCGTCTCCATAATTATTCCAGATTTTTAACGTTTTTGTTCACAATTAGGGGAAATGGATGTAATGTCGGCAATGCTTCTTATTTGGGCCAATACATAAATTCAGCAATCGACTAAATTTTCAATGGCAACCAAAATGTCCATTAGTACCTTCCTTCCCAATGACGCATTCATCTAGATAAAATTGATAAATAGCAGATTTTTAGCGATGGGCCCAATCTTAGATCCATAGGCCAACATTTGAGCCATTTCCCCTAGTATATTTTTGAGGGATCCAAGTAAAAATAAACTATTTTGGTCCTAAAATTGGCTAGAATGCACTTAAGTATAATGTTTTTTATATAAAGCGGGCTAAAATTTTCCGAGAAACCATAATTTATATATAAACCGATTTAAAAAGTCCAGTATAAGCATTTAAGTGTAAATGAGAGGTACGTAAAAAATTAATTACAGATTCATAAAGTACGCACTTGGTACATCACATTTCCGTGGAAATCTGGTCGATCCATGAAATCGGTTTTCCGTGAAGCTTTGAGGTACGTTCAAAATCTTTGAAGGTACGCTATTGGTACATTCTAAAACACATATTATCAACTTAGAAATTCGTTAAGTTTGTCTCGCTGGAAAAAGTAAAAAGTATAACTAGGTCGAGTTTCGAACGCCTTTGGATACGGTTGTGTATTAAGTGTGTTCTCTGTTTTGTGCATGCATTCGCTTTCATAGTTTTTGGCTGCATTTGCCGGATTAGCGCTGGCACTCTGCCTCCCGGACGGTTATACGTGTGTGAGTGGTGGTTTTCTCGCTTTCCGAGAAGTTTTAGAATCGAGAAAGAAAACATGCTTCATCATGTTTTCAAGCAACAGAAAATTTAACGCTATCTGCGTTGTTTGATTTTTTCTCCCGATCCAGAAATTTGTGGCATCGCGAATTTAAATTTTAGTTTATTTACGCGGTGATGAAGTTGGTTCACTCGCAACTATTTTTGAAAAAATTAAGTGTTTTCGAACGAAAGTGTACCATAAGTGCTTCTGAACGTGTTTCGCAGTTGGGTGTGGTGAAATTCGTGCATTCCCGTTTGATTTTGGAAATCCGTACCACAAAATTGCCCACCGATTCCTTTTTTGCCGTTCGACGACGACGGGTGTGCTTTCGCAAGAGTGACATTTATTGGATCCGTTTCTTTGCACGGGTGTGTTTTTTTGTAACTAGCGTAAGTGTGCCTGCGATTTGCATTGAGTGTCGGAGATTGTGAGTAAGCTGAAGGATGTCTCGCTGGATACGCCCAAGACTGGACGGGCGGTAGCTGGTGGCCGTGAACGGTTCCTGAGGAAAGCACTAGATGCGAACCTCCTCCCAGATCACCATTGGAATACAGGAAGTATCACAACAAAGATAATTGCTATTAGATTTTTTGCAAACAGTGACAGATAGCGGACATGAAGAACCAGTGGAGGTGCCGGGCAAAGGTGTTTATCCTAGACAAATGGTAAGTTACAAATTCTCTGTTGTCGTTGTCGTTGTCGTAGGCGCCGCCGTAGTCGCTGTCGTAATCGCCGTCGTAGTCGTAGGCAGTACCGTTAGTATATTTAAAATTAAACATCAACCGCTGAAAATATGAATTATCGCGTATTTCTGTTGTTCATTACATTCCAAGTGAAATTCGAGAACGTAATTTCATTTGAATAGCTTGTTTAACCAGGTCTTAAACAATCGTCACGTCGGTCATAGCTTGTTATGATTGTCTGAACCATGCGTAAAGAGAAAATCGAAACATTGAACGTCGCGTGAAAGTGGATCTTAATGAAGGCCTAAGTACTTTTCGTAGCTTTTAGTTTTAGGATTTCAAAGATCGTTGGTTGCAGTGGCTTGCTTACTGAGGAGAAAAACGCGGTCCCAGATCCTTTCATATTAAAAATATTAAAATATCGCTTGTTTATCGTGTATTTTGTAAAACTTTTCGCTGTCGTCGGTGCCGGGTTTGAATAGTTATAAAAAACTTGAGTAACGCTATAATGTGATATGAGAGGCTCGGTGGCCTTAGAGCAACCGTTTTTGCTTACTGAGCAGAACATCATTAGTCTAATATCAAGCCCATCCACATTCAAGATTCGTTAATGATTAAAAAGGAGCTCGTCTGCCTAGTGCCAAACGTTTTTGCTTACTGAGCAGAAGACCGTGGATTCAATCCCAAGCTCCTTCGCGTTATACGATCGATAGGATATCAATTCAGCTTATCGTTAACCAAAACGAACCCTGCTGCTAACCCAACCCTCCTACCCAACATCCCTGTGATTCCTGGTGGAAGTGCAGAGGAGTCCTCGGCTTCTATCAAAGCGAGTGTCACGTCAACACATTCCTACCCATTACTTTCTTGACCTGCGTTCAGGCGCGGCTGGCGCTGGTATTGCCTAATTCGAGATCACCAGTTTTTAATCATTGAGGATGATTGCTAGTCCCAAGCATCGTCTATTGGTTCTCTGCGTAAATACAGCTGGTCTGGCAATAACAGAGTAACAACCGTGGGCGGTCACTCATGCTCATGTTCATGCTCAAAAAGTAAAACTAATATCTTGGAGGATCACAAAACTGCGGTTGGTTTTTTAGTTTATACTAGTAAAGTTTTATGATATTATAGACTCCCGACCTCGTTAGTTTGACATACCTCAAATGCTCAATGTACTGCACTAGTGATTTGTTGAGAAAACATATAATGTCCTGCAAACAACATCGTATTGCATCTACTCCAACTTTGAAATTCTCAAAACAACTCCCTATACCATTAACCAGCGCATTACGACTAGCCAGAGTGTGGTTCTGTTGCTTATCGTAACTTTGAATTCTCTTTCGGATCGTGTTTGACAGACCCAGCACCACTATCTCTTTACCGACATTAATTTGACTGAGCAATCTATAAAATAAGTGTTAGATGAGAATAAGATAAAAGCAATCTTATATAGTAATTGTCATATACCTGGTAACCGTGTTCTTCACTGCATGTTTGAGTGGCGCTTCGATAAACAATTCTGCCAAAATCTGTATGTTGGACAAAAGTGATTTTTCTATGCCCAAAATATATGCCGAATACTGAAAGAAAATAGTTTTCACAAAACGCGAAAAAAAATATTGGCAAGGCATCATATGTTACCTCCTTAAGCACTTTTATCTGCTCATCGACGGATGTTGCTTCGGCCAATCCGGAGATGTATGTATTTTCTAGAATAAGAAATCCACTATCACATCCACTAAGCATCAAACATATGACATTTTCATACCAGGTTGATAAAGAGATGAAGGCACATTGAAAAGATCCATTCTAATTTCTGAATGTTTTTTCACATTTTCATTCGCCCGAATGGAAGATACCCGTAGCGATAAACCATTCATCTTGAATAAAACTTTCGAAAGAAAAAAAAATCAAATTTTGTTTTGCTTTGACTTTTACGACATGCTACCAGTAAAGCCTAAAGCCCTACAGTAAAAGTATGGACGACTGTCACCACAAAACTGAAAAAAAGCTGTTCCAATCGAGCAAAGCGGTGCATTCTGAAGGCCGGCGCACAATAGATACGTTTTCGGGTTTTTTGACAGATAATGCATGGGCTAACTGTCAAAAAAACCTGAAAACGTATCTATTGTGCGTCGGCCTTGACGGTTCGATTGGAACAACTTTTGACAGACGTCCACACTTTTACTGTAGGGCTTTAGCTACCAGCGTTGCCAACAGTTTTCAAAAAATAACTCGACATATTCTAGACGAGCAATTGAAAAGGTCCTATCTGCTTTAACCAATTCTCTCCACACTGATAAATTAAACTATTCTCTTAAATGACATTAAACTCATTTTAAACTAGAAATACTCAGAGAGGGCGTAGATAATGTTTTGAGCCAAATGAACTGTCAAAATCTGAGCCAATTGAACATTCCAATTAGATTTTTTCCTTCTTATTCTTACAAGAATAAATTTGAGAGTATTGCAATCGAACAGAAATTCAATCATCTTTATGTTTTGTGTGCTTCTCAAATTCAACTAGTTTTTGGAATCAAAAACAATATTCTAACTCTATTGATTAATTGATCTTCGTTTGTTAATGAATGGCAACAAGAAATGTGCAAAATATTGCGATGCAATCAATTATTATATTGCACGTAAATCGAATCAAAAATAAAAGTCATTTGAAATACTAGTTTCTAGCAAGGGTTGCAAGATAATTTAGGAACAAATCCCTGCTGCCGAATTGTATTTTGTTTTCTCCGCCTATCTCTCCCTCTGAGTATTTCTAGTTTAAACATATCGAATGATTAAGGCACAAACGAAGTGACAGACGACTAACTGGCGAAGAAATCAATTAAAATAATGTGGTTCGCTGTAATAGAATTTTCTTAGAAGCTTGTGCCATCAGTCACCAGATGGGCTAGTTTTTTTGTTTTGATTTGAGCATAGTTGATTTTGTGTGCAATACAGGCCAGTGACAAGGCCTATACCAACAGCAGCGTTTGACAGTACGCAGCATGTCCCGGGCTGGTGTGGAGAAGAGTGACTAAACTAAAATGAGAGAGCTGTGCGCTGTTAAAATAGTCGCGCTAATGACAACGACCGTTACGGTTGCTCTTAGTTACTCGTATGACAACCCCCGATACGGTAGCTGCGCTATGATGAGGGCTGCTAAAATGAGTTTAGCAGCGTACCGTTACGGTTGCTCTTAATACCCTGAAGGATGGAAGTTAGCTGTTACACCTGGTTAAACTAGAAATACTCAGAGGGAGAGATAGGCGGAGAAAACAAAATACAGTTCGGCTGCAGGGATTTGTTCCTAAATTATCTTGCAACCCTTGCTAGAAGCTAACATTTCACATGACTTGTATTTTTGATTCGATTTAGGTGCAAAATAATAATCTATTGCATCGCGCAATATTTTGCACATTTCTTGGTGCTATTCGTTAACCGGCGAAGATCGATTAATCAATAGAGTTAGAATATTGTTTTTTATTCCAAAAACTAGTTGAATTTGAGAAGCACACAAAACATAAAGGTGATTGAATTTCTGTTCGATTGCAATACTCTCAAATTTATTCTAGTAAGAATAAGAAAAATCTAATTAATGTTTGATTGGCTCAGATTATGACAGTTCATTAGGCTCAAAACATTCTCTCCGCCCATCTCTCCCTCTGAGTATTTCTAGGTTAAATTATCGTTAAACTTGACCATAATTTTCGATCTGCATGACTCGGCTCGAAATAAATTCGAATATATTTGATCACAGCTGTCATTGGCGTTGATGGCAACTCTATAGCTCTTTACTTCTATGGTAAAATCCATAAGCAATCGTCAGACCACAAACGAAGTTACAGACGACATACTGGCGAAGAAATCCATTAAAATAATGTGGTTCACTGTAATAGAATTTTCTTGGAAGCTTGTGCCATCATCCACCAGATGGGTTAGTTTTTTTGTTTTGATTTGAACAAAGTTGATTTTGTGTACAATGATTCTTTGACAGTGTGCAAAGAGTGCGTATCATTTTGTCATTTTTTTTATGCATTTCAGTTTTGAGTAGAGTGAATGAGATAGAACCAAAACATTCTAGTACATTTGGTGAAAATGCTAGTTCAATCTAATAGTAGTGTTGCCATGTGGTACAATCCAGTAGTAGTGGTGTTGCCATGTGGTACACTGAAAAATTGAAATAGCAGGTTAGTCACCAAAGTTTTCGAGCCGCTCCGTCTGTCACTTCGTTTGTGGTACAACGGTACTAATTTGTATGTCTGTCTGTGGTATTACTTTGCTAGAAGAGAAGGTGCCGTCAACGCTAGTTATGTTTTCATTTTGTTGACGTCGTGACTCGCTGAGTGTCGATGTGCGGTATTAAAGGTGAGGAGGAGATGATGCATTGGTATTCGTGCAATGACAACATTCAACACAGTAGTCGTGTGGCATCGTGTTGACACACCAAGTTGTTTTTAAAGTTGTCGGTAAACATTTTACTGACTTTTAAACAGCTGAACATTCGGTAATCAGTTCGGTAAAAGTTTGGTTTACTGAACGATCAGTAAACTTGCAATGTATACTCAACTGTCAAAAAATACCGAGTAGCTCATCACTCAATACCGAAGTTCGGTAAAATTTACAAAATAATCGGTAAACATAGAAAGGTCGTCATCTGCCAAAAATTACAGTTCTTTCGCTAGTTTTTACTGAAAAACAGTGAAATATAGGGAATTGTTCCGTTCAAATCATGCACAATATAAATTGTTGTTTATATCTTTTATTAAATGCAATTCGTCAATCTGTTTATCCAACGAGTCAGCGATCGCCAGCCATTTTATTTGAGTGCTAAAAAATGAAAACATTTAGATAATATAAATAGTACTTACTGAAAAGATCCCTTACTTCCGCATCCGGCCGTTAGCACATCTAATCTCATCAGACACACTGATAAAAAAGATGACCAAAGATTGGCGTGCGGAGTGACCTACCACTTGAGATCAGTCCATTCAAGCTACAACACAAACAAAATGCTGAAATTCTCCAGCCGATACGAGAAAACTATTGAGAAATCCAACTTAAACTCCTGCGCGCCTGGTGGCAGGAATAAGCACTAACCGACGGTGATAAGTCTGTGACAGCCCTTGACAATTTCATTGATTGTTTGCAAAATTGTTTAATTTCAATGTAATTTCATGCAAATTTCTTGTCAGCATGGATGAACCTTGTACAAAATGCATAAAATTATTTTGTAATGCATTGTTCCTTAATAAAAAGCTACTTGAAGACAGTTAAATTACAGAAAACATGTTAAGGTTTGAAATCATCTGCCGATTAAACAACAGACAAAGTTGACCGACTAAATCAATCAACTAAAAACTATTAAATAGGCCGATTGCTCGGTGTAGCACCAGACGAAAAACGATTTAATCTGCTGATTAATACACCGACTGAAATTAATTTTTAAGTGGCAATAGATTTAGTCGGTGGACGAATCGGGTGATCTGGATGATGTTTGTTTATTTGGAAGATATTTTCGAAACAAAGCACGATAAAATTCAGAATTATATACCATTATTACGAGTACTACTTTTTTGCTCGGATCATGTTTTGACTCCCACAGAAACTCGCTAGAATAAATACAAAATAATAGTTTTTTGGTTGAAATTTCAAAAATGTATTCAGTTTGACACATTATTTCAGACTTATCACCGCTGCGATTGCAGCGCTACGGTGGCCGATTGAAACTTGGATTTGTCAATAGTAGGAAACAATAGTAGGAATAACATGGGGGCCTTCCTTAGCTCAGTCGGTAAAGGCGCACCTACAAAGCAAGACCATGCTGGAGGTGGCTGGGTTCGATTCCCGGTTCGGTCTAGGAATTTTTCGGGTTGAAAAATTTCTCGACTTCCCTGGGCATAGAAGTATGATTTGACTTGCCACACAATCATATCAAATGCAAAAATGGTGCAGGCATCAAAAGCTCTCAATTAATAACTGTGGAACACGGACAGAAAATTGTTTGCATTGAACCAAAAAAAACTTTTGTTGTATTTAAACAAACAATTCCGGTTGAAATTATATTGCATTTTGTTGTTTCAATAATACTTATTCATATAGATTCAAAATAGGATTCTTTTTGTTTTAATAAACCACTTTTCAACTGCACACGGACAGAACATTGTTTGCATTGAACCAAACAAAACTTTAGTTGTATTTAAACAAACAATTCCGGTTGAAATTATATTGCATTTTGTTGTTTCAATAATACTTATTCATATAAATTCAAACTAGGATTCTTTTTGTTTCAATAAGCCACTTTTCATCTGCAACTATTGTAAAAATAACAATATTCTATTATTAAGCCAACAATAGTTCATTGTTGTCAATAACTACCAACGTTAACTACGTTTTCACCCGGACAAAAATGTAGACAAAAACAAAACTTGTGAATTTCGGGAAATAAGTGCACAATTTCCGAAAATCTTGAGACTTGAGTTAAGTAAGTATGCTGCAGTTCGAGCTGCAGTTGCTAAGTATAATCAACTTTCTGTTTTTTCCTTGATTTTTTTTTCCGTCGATCTTGTTTTCCGTACTGAGTACCAATGCTCCTGAATCCAGGAAGGCAGCTCCCACACCTGGACTCTACATATCGACCCATCAACTAATTAACCGGGGATCAACGGCTTTACTTCCCTTCCGAAGGATGATCAGTGAAAAAGAAAACAAAACATAAAAAAATTGCCCATATTATTTCCGGAGTGATTTGAGATTTGGGCGTAATTGCATTTGTAAACAAATACGTCAATCACCGATTTCTCGTGAATAAAAGCTCAATCTCGAAAGGTAATGACACTATGAGGTAGAGGAATGATTCCTCTATCATTTGGTATAGTTTGTTTGTGAGATTGAGCTTTTATTCAAGAGAAATCAGTAATTGACGTGTTTGTTTTCAAAAGCAATTACGC